GCCCCTCCCTCCTCCCCTCCTGATCCCACCCTCCCTCCCCTTTCTGCATGCATGCCACTCCCCAAGTCCACTGAGAGGGGAGGTCCTCCTCTCCTTTCTGATCTTAGTCTATCAGTTCTCATCAAAAGTGGCTGCATTGTCCTCTTCTGTGGCCTGGTAAGGCTGCTCCCCCCTCAGGGGGAGGTGATCAAAGAACAAGCCAACCAGATTATGTCAGAGGCAGTCCCTCTTCCCATTACTATGGAACCCACTTGGACACTGAACTGCCATGGGCTACATCTGTGCAGGGGTTCCAGGTCATCTCCACGAATAGTCCTTGGTTGGAGTATGAGTCTCTGGGAAGTTCCCTGTGTTCAAATTTTCTTGTTCTGTTGCTCTCCCTGTGGAGTTCCTGTCCTCTCCAGCTCTTGCTATTTTCTACTTCCTACCTAAAATTCCATTCACTCTGCCCAACAGTTGGCCATCATGCCTTTAGATTTGTCCAAAATTTGCTCTGTAACATTGTGAAAGTTTCTGTGAACATTTGGGTCTAACATATGGGTCAAGTAAAAGAATTATGGAAAGTTCTTTACACAGATCATTGCACGTCACACCCTGCAATATTAACTATCATCAAGAAATTGTATAAAAAACCTATTTTGGGGTTGTTTGGTTTGTAATCAAATTTTCTGGCTCACGTTTATTTACTTCCTTGAATAGAGAACATGTTAAATGGCTGACTCACACTATGATAAAATTTCCATATTTCAGCAACTAAACCATAATGCTCTGTATCTAATATTTGGTATTCATCACTTATATAACTCATTATATCTATGCACTGTTGTAGAGTTGAGAGTACAGCACTTGAAGCCACGTGGTAATATGTGTGAAATAAATGATTGGTTTTAGTGGAAATAGAGCTTTTTTCTGTTTTCCCTGACAGTCCCACCTCTCCATTTCTACACTGCACTGTGTGCATTTGCTAGAATGATTCGCAGGGATGCACTTGCAGGAAGAGCAGGTAGCTGGCACACAGAAGCACACAAAGGAATGGCAGTCTCCTCGGTGCCCCAAATGTGAGCAGACACATTCTGCATGGATCCTGTCACTATCATACACACCTCATATCATGCTCATCTCTGTTAGTTATTAATTCATTTATGGATTCTCTTGCTTTTCACTTATCTCTCACTGCTCATCTTTCTTTGCAATTCTACGGGGAAATTCACACTGGATGAATTTCAGCTTCCTGCTAGCCAGAACAATCAGATTTAAAGGAGCATTTGTGCCAGGCCTTGTGTCTGCCAATATTCTTTCTATCTAGGTAATCAGCAAATATGCCATGGATGTTCTGCTCACATCAATTTCAATTCAAGTTGCTCTGAACTGTCAAACTAATAAAGCAAAGACACTTCCCTCCCCGCCCCAGGATGCAGAACACCTTTACATAATGCAGTCATACCACACTCAAAGTGATGATGAAAAGTGCCAACAGTATCCCCACAGATAGACAACAGCAAGAGACATGAAGGGTAAATGCAGGATTAACATGAGTGCTGTTGTGTCCACCAGTCACCCTACTTTTCCTCATCCCATACTTCAGGCAACATTTGAATTCATAAAGCCATTTGTGAAAAAAATCAGTAGCAAATAATTCACTGCAAAATCATTCCTGCCCACTTTATTCACCTGTTCTATCATCAAAGGACCAGTGAGAATGGTCTCCATTTCTGACAGAAAATTAAATTAATCTAGAAACCCATTTTGAATTGATTTGTACAAAAAGGGGGTAATCAGGAAAGGAAAAAAAAACTGGAAATATGTTTTAAAAGGTTGTGAGTCAAAAGATAGCACTAAATCATTAAGCACTAGATCGCTCAGCTACTCTGACTTTATCAGGCCCTCAAAGATGCTTCTATGGTGAGGCCAGCTCAAGTCAAGAGAATGCAGTACATTTCAACAAAACACACGTCGAGTTGAAATGCTCACAGGACATTTACAAACGAGAAAAGGAATGCCGAGATTTGTACTTACTTTTTTTTTTAATATTTATTAAATTTTATTTCAATTTCAAAATTTAAGATTTTATCTTTCTTTTAAGGGTTTTAATCATTCATTTTTTAATTTTTTTATTAATTACACTTTATTCATTTTGTATCCCCCCATAAGCTCCTCCCTCCTCCCCTCCCAATTCCACCCTCCCTCCCCTTTCTGCATTCATGCCACTCCCCAAGTCCACTGATAGGGGAGGTTCTCCTCTCCTTTCTGATCTTAGTCTATCAGTTCTCATCAAAATTGGCTGCATTGTCCTCTACTGTGGCCTGGTAAGGCTGCTCCCCCCTCAGGGGGAGGTAATCAAAGAGCAGGCCAATCAGATTATGTCAGAGGCAGTCCCTCTTCCCATTACTATGGAACCCACTTGGACACTGAACTGCCATGGGCTACATCTGTGCAGGAGTTCTAAGACAAGCACACAGTGTTGTCATATGTTACTGATAATTGCAATATGGAAAGAAGAAGAAATCCCCAGAGTTTGAAAGTTGTTGGGAATTTTTAAAATGTAAGTAGGTTTTAAGACGACAAAAACAGAACATTAAGGGGTGTCGAGGCACACTTCACAATGGTACAGCAGATTCTAGACTCTCTTAATCACATGGTACTAGTTAACAAACATTAACTGCCTTTATCCTCTCAGAAATCTCCTGGGTACCACATTCATCTCTATATTCTTAACAAGGTTAGTGGGTCTTACAAAGAATGCGCTTGCCTCTAGAACTTCTGCTCGGATGTGGCCTGTGGTAGCTCAGTAACCAAGTAGTTTTCCAAAGTAAGGGGGACACGGACTATTTCTAACAGGATCTCAAGGGCAGGCTGTTTGACACCTCCCCCCAGGGGAGGAGCAGTCTGTTAGGCCACAGAGGAGGACTTTGCAGCCAGCCCTGAAGATACCTGATAAAACAGGGTCAGATGAAAGGGGAGGAGGTCCTCCCCTATCAGTGAACTTGGAAAGGGGCAGGGAGGAGACCAGGGAGGGAGTGTGGGGTTGGGGAGGGGAATGAGGGAGCGGGATACAGCTGGGACACAGAGTTAACAAAATGTAACTAAAAAGAAAAATAAAATAAAATAAAAAGAAAGAAAAAAAAAGAGTACATTTCAACATGAATTTCTAGCTGTACCACTATCGCTTAGACTCAGACAGCCTGGATTTCTAAAATGCCATGTTATAAATCAAACTTTATCTAGAACATTTCAGACACTAAATCTTTAAGCTATGTAAAATGTTTTCCAGAATAAATATTTAATTGAAGGCTGAACTATTGGACTCTATCTATCTGAAACTTGAGATGAAAAGTAAGATAAAAACACTTATGTAAAGATGAAAACATCTGCTGTAGATTTTCTTAAGTTAGGCACACTAGCTTTATCCTATGTTGGTCTGCCAAAATCTGAATTAGGCATACAGTTTATTATTTATTTTCAGGGTATGCAGTCTATGTATATAAATTGAGATTTAGCTGCATTGCAAAGGTTATTCTACACTTCTGAAGGAAAGGGAAAATAAAACACATTTTAAAAATACACCTTTGGGCTTGGCCTTCTTCAATGCATTTTTTTTTAAATCACTGAATGTAACATTGATGTTTCTTGTTTTACTAACAACGTGAATCCTTGAGCTTGACCAAATGTCAGTGTTGAGTCATTTTGGATGTTTTTCCAGGTAAAATATAGGTCTATTGCTGCTTTTCTCCACCCTTGAATATGTTTTAAATAACTCACCCTAATTATACCTCAATCCACTATTGTGCATCCAGTCTAAAAAGTGAAATTCATCCCGCAAGAGTAGCTTACTCTAGATCTATATTTTACCTTAAAGGGAAATTCAACCCTGAACAAAACTAACTGTCTTTACTACCTCAGCAGACACCAGTACCCATTTCCAGTGGCTCATTTTGATGTGGGAGGTGGGAATTCGCGAGCACCCTTCCTGATCCATGCTAGGATTTTCCCTGTCTGGATATTGTGCAGGTCTTATGCACACAGCTAACAGAGAGTCCCTGGGTGCACCCTTCTCATGCCCAGCAAACACTGCTTTCCTGTTATCACTGACACCTCTGGCATTTGTAATCTTCCTGCTCCTTCTTCAACGTTGATCCCTGAGCCTTGGAAGGAAGGTGTATGAAATAATATTAATTCTATTTTCTAAATAAATGCAGCACTATACCATATTCTACCTGAAAAAAAATAAGTCTGTACCTAATCCATTATTTCTATAAGACTAGAAAAGTCTGTATACATAGTAATACTACTGAAGTTAATGAGAAAGATAGATAACAAAACCTTCAGTGGTGTTATTACTATAAATGATTGATCTAACTTAGATGATTTTATTTTGAATATTGGTTATTGTAAAAGCAAAGAGACACAGTGCCCCCAAGGAAAGATGGGTAAGCTGTGGTGTGTTGCGCTTTTTGTTAGTTTAATTTTTCAGGTTTTGGTAAAAAGATCTATGAATTTTACCTTATGCGTTGGCCATTGAGGGTGGGTAACTAGCCAGCTGAGGTTATCAAGTTGGGAAGTTTGTCAAGGCCAATAGGAATGTCTTCTCATAGCATACATGCACACACACACACACACACACACACACACACACACACAATGTCTCATCCATTTCACTTCAGAGAGACATAAGAGAGTGCTGCCCACTGATGCATTACACAAAAAAATATTTTGAAATAGCATATGCAGATTAATCTTAATGCAAGCATTTTAATTGTGTGATTTCCTCCCCAGACATTTTCCAATTTCTCTGGAGCTGCTCTGATCCAGCAGAATTAATTTTCATAAAATTCTTCTAGAGGATTGTATGGGTTGCAAATTAAACAATAAGAATTTTCTGTAAGTCTTTCCTTCTCTAAGTGGAGTGAGACAATCCAAGAAACCAGTATTAGAATGATTATATTTCACCAGTTAGTCTTGGTGTTGCTATCCTCCAGATCCACATATGCTTGGTGACATACCTCATAGAGGTCGATCATGACATTGCCTTCAGGGCCTCTGCTGCTCTGGACATTCTCCAAGGCCAGCGTGAAGTAGACACCACGGGTGTCTGAGATGTACAGGTTGTATGTGTCATTCTGGTTCCATTCTTGAACTGCTGCAAACACTTGATTCTCATCTGTGCTAATAACGTGCATGTCCTGAAGGAAAACACAAGGAAGTGAAGGCAAGAAGGCTTTTATATATTAATTAACCTCGCTTGCATCCAAAGAGTGTGCCTGCTGAGGAGCTTTGATGGAATGCCGAGGAGGATAGAGAAGGCTTCCTTTCACGTAGATGAAAATGACAGTTAAGTGTTGATCATGCATTTTCTCTGTCATTTGGGGGTTAAGCAGTGAGGTCATGACAAACTAATATAGAAGGATGTATAGCAGCCTAGTCATAATTTAATTTCCTTAATAGACAATTGAAGATAGTGTTCTTAAATATGTGTGAATTTGTAGAACCAGCCATTCTCATGTATTTGTCAAGTTCAAACACTTCTTGCTCAGAAGAAGTACACAGGGCAAACATAAGGTAACAGAAGGAAACCTGACAAGCCCTGGATCCTGCTGGTGCCTGTTCTGCTACTTCCTGCAAGCTCCGTAGACACTGAACCTCATAGCCTACCCACTGAATTAAAATATGCTTTTTAATGAGGTCTCTCCATGAAAATTATACACATTAAAGTTGGACACGTACTGCCAAGGGTTCAGCAACACCTAAAATCCCCCAGGGAAAAAATGTCCATCAGAAACCCCCAAACCGTTAATGTTCATATGAGGGATTAATTTAGGGACTGAGCTACTAATCTGATATTTTTCTCTTATAAGTTCTCTAAGAAAACTACAAGAGAAAAGAGTTGTCATCATAAAGGGTAATGGTCCCAAGGTTACCACAGATAGAAATAAAGTGAAGGAAACATGGAGGCCTTGTCCACTGTCCTCTGGTAAGAACTCCAAATCTTTCATTCCCCATTCAGGACTCTAGCCAATGCCTAAAGCTATTCTAAACTGGCCAATGTCTCCAGCCAATGCTGGTTGTTTCCTTAAAGGAAGCCTGTCCATGTCCTTTGGGCTGACTTTTAATCCTGTGGCCAAAGAATTCCACACAGAATAAATTACAAACAACTCAGAGTAAAGCAGTAAAAAATAAAAAGACCCAGAAATAAACAGAGATACCTGTTAGTATATAGTATATAGCAAGAAAATGATATAGAAATGCCCTTGGCTTTTATGTAACTTAATCTTCACAAACTGACCGTGCTCTATGATTGAAAAATTTTAGTAAAGTTTAGATATGATGATCTTTCTTGGTGACTATTCCAACCCAAATTGCTTAGTGGAACTTGAGTCATTCTCCTAACTTCATGTTCTCATAATTTGAGTTTAGTGTTGGCTTGAGACATAGTCATCTGAATGGCACTCCATGCTCAGACGTTCTATCTGTGAACTAGCATGTCCTTCACAGGACATGGAAGATAAAATCAGCAAGGCTTAAATACCGTTACAGTCTTCCACTTCCTGTATGTCTCATACATCGTGAGTGTTTCACTTAAGAATGTCAGTCTATCAGTTTGGCTTCCCATTCACTGATGTGCTCAAAAAAAGGTTCATCCAAATGTTTTCTGTCTGATGGAGAAAACTAGCTGTGGAAATCACCCTTAAGTTCATTGTTTCATCCATTTGGACATACCTTCAATGGGTCTTAATTTATCATAGGATAGAGACCAAAATGCTCAAAATCATTGAACAACTACTTTCCATTTGTGTTTTCTTCCCTCAGATTGTTATAATCCTGGATTTCTGTTCAGTCATCTAAAATGTAAGCTGACCCTAGCATAGCCAACACTGAACTGCTGATGGGCTCACACAACATTGAGGACATGATCCCGGGACCATAGTCATCATCTACACGGTCACACTTCAGTATCCATTGTGTCGATTAGGTATTGTAGTCAATAGCTAGGTAACAAATGTCGAATGTGAGCTTGACAAGAATTACCTTGAAGATGAGGTTCTGGGAATGGCTGTGAGTGGCTCTCTAGGTTTGGTCCGTTGAGGTGGGAAAACACGCCCTGAGTGGGAATAGCACTAGGGGTCTGTCCTCCATAGAATGTACTGTGAGGGTGTGGCTGAGCACAGACACCCATCTCTCTCACCTTCCTGAAAGGTCACATGCAACGTGACCAGCTGCCTTAAGTCCTGCTGTGACTATCCTAACCTCGAGGATGTGAGCCGAAACACAGCCTTTCTTCCTTAGGTTGCTTTAGTCAAGGTGTTGTATCACCACAATGGGAAAAGTAACCAATGCAGTATTGAGAATACAACTCTGTTAAGTGGCTTGATTAGGTCGACTTAGAAAACTTGTCATATAATGTAAATGGGATAAAATGACCATGTCTAGATAAAGTTGCAAATGAACCTCTCCTTACTTTTATGAAATTTCATGGATCAAACTTTAGAAAATTATGCCCGACATAAAGATTCGATATGTTTGTGTTTATTTCACCTTCCTTCAACTCATTATTAAGAACATGTGCCCCTGTTGTTTCCCTGGTTCTCATGATTCTAGACCAACGTAGACTAATTTGGAGTTACACTGGATCAACTTGCAAAGTCTGCTCTGAAGCCTTTTTGCTTATTGGTGGTATGATTTATTCATCTTGTTTTGTTTGTTTGTTTGTTTCTTTATAAGATACAATCATTCTATGTAGCCAACTAAGGAAACAAGTGGTCCTTGAAGTCACTATATCATCTAAGAAGGCCTCAATTATTTTTCCTTTTAAGATCTACTTTTATTTTTATTTAAATGCACAGCGTGTATGTCTCTGTGAATCTATGCCACACACATGTGGGTACCCTTGGAGACCAGAAGAGGGTATCATGGAGCTGGGCTTAGAAGTCGTCATGAGGTGCCTAATATAGGTGCTAGGAACCCAACTCAGGTCCTCTGGAAGAACATGACAATCTCAACTGCTGAGCTATTTCTCCAGCTCCTGGCCTCAAACTACTGGTAATCCTACCTCTACCCCCAAGAGGCTGTGGTTATTACTGGTTTATTGCACCACAGATGGTGATAAACTATTGAATTAAAGCTGAACTACTGGGTTTTTCTCATAGACATCTATGAGACACTGAGCTATTAGTGACCTACTCTTAGTCTCTAAAGAAGTCACATTGATTGAAGTTTACTTTCTTCTTAAACTTATTTGAGTACAGGACCAAATTTTTTCCATATATTACTAAGGATGTTTTATTCTGAGTGACAAATTGATAAAAATATTGTTTTGAATCTAAGGTCTTTATTTTTTAAAAAATGAATAAGAGAAAAGGTAATAAAGCACAGATAGCCAAGGTTTCTAAGCAAGTTAGTGATGGGTCCAGGTCTGAGGTCTGGTCTCCTGTTACGAGTCAAGCATCCTTTGCACCCCCTGCATCCTGGTACCCATCCATCTTTCACTATGGAGACAACTAGATCCATATTACTAATAAAATTACCTTGCTTTTATAGAGTATCTGTCCTCCAAAACACTTGAGGCACTTTTGTATGTATTGCCTCATCTATCTCACTGGAGTCACTCAGAATAGGCTCCAGGTAACTCACAGAAGGGAAGTTGGTCAACCCTGTGTCACTCTGTCTAAGGGACCATGTGTTCTCACTTGTACTGGCACCGTGCAACCATCACTCATCTTTGGTTTTTCTTTATCATTAATAATCGTTTAGACACAGCCCAAGGCAACACTCTGCTCTTTCAACATCTGATAGAATGGCAGCAGGTGGTTAGAAAAATGTGAGCAGGAGAGAGCTGATGTGCCTCCTTGCCTTTGGTCATCATGAAGCGTTGTTCCTGTGCAGGTGCAGCCCTGGCTATGTGAGAAGGCCACAGAGCACAGCACCTTTGAGGAAAGTACTCTCCACGCCGAGGCTTCTCTTTGAAGTTATAATGGGATTATAATGAAGCTTCTCTTTGCTTTACATAATAAAACCCACCTGGACCAAATAATCCATTTATTCAATACATATTCTAGCTCCCATTTTTGTAGAAACAAGCAAAATGACTGCATTCTAATCTGAGAACTATAATGAAGCTAAGTCATGGGACACGATCATCTGGCTAGCAGGGTTGGGGGCTGGGTAGATGGCAACTCAGCTTCAAAGGAAACTGTGCCTTCCAGATTGCCTAGAGGCCCCTGGGGACAGATGTCAGTGATCATCATAATGACGATGAACAAGCAATGTAAAATACCTGTGATACTCAGCAGTATATCAACAAAAGCCTCTTTGATTTTTAAACTAGCATTTATAGGGCTGCTTGGGCCAGTGAGGCCTTCCTCTTCCTATATGTGTTGATAGCACATCATATTTGGTGGGGTAGGGATCATGCCACATTTTATCAATGGGAGTCACCATTTACTTGCCAGTGGATAAAATTATTAAAACAAAAACAACAGCAGCAACAATTGCACTATTATGGATGTCAGAAAATTTGAGTTCTAGCCTCACCTGTATGGCAGGTAGAATTTAGTTCTGGCTCAGATTGTTCTGCGAAGAATACACTGACCCAAGAGTGAGCATGTGGCAGGTGGCTAAGATCTGCAGTCCCCCAACTTTGCCTGCCTCTCGACCAGGGCATTGCCATGCATTGGGTGTAAATCTTGTTTTTAAAGCTACAAATATTTCAAGTTGCCTTCTTCAATTTTTGATGGCTGAATCACAATTCATTTAAGTACTGAGGCTCGAAGGGGCACTGTTTTTTGGGGTGTGTGTGTGTCGTTTTGTATTGTTTTTCCTAGTTGATATCTCCCTCCGCAAATGTTCTAGAAGACTATCAATACAATTTTAACAATTCTAAGTTCTAGTCTTACATTTCAGTATCCATGCCCAGTGTGATTTTGATGTTTTGTGCTTTTACCTTATGGGGTAGAAAGAAAGCGAATCAATACCAAGATCAGTTTAGTCTGTATGACATCACAACCAGACATGCGGTCCCTTGAGAGATCAGTTTACTGTGTGACGTCACAAGCAGGCCTGTAGTCCCATGCGATTGCCATTATGATTGACCTCTTATTAGAGAACAAACACAACTCATAACTCGGGTGTGGTTCTCTGAAGCTGACAGTGCACTTCAGTGTGTGTGTGTGTCTGACTCTAATGTGCAGGGGTTTATAAAACAACAACAAAAGAAAACTTTTACTGTTAGGGTAAGTTAAAGACTTTTCCCTGGAGATGCCAGCACAAGCTGTGAGCCCAGCTCTCACACGAAGGGCCAGCCCTGCCCTCCAGTGCTGGCTATGTCCACCATCAACAGTACTGGGCCTATAGCTGGGACTACGCCGAGAGTGTGCTGCAAATGAAAGAGAGTTCAAAAGAAAGAAAGAAAGATGAGACTTCAAAATAAATTTCATTCTATCCTTTGTTCAACTTACAACTTTCAAAGCTGAGTTAGAATCCTATTTAAACCCGTGCAAGCCCTTTCTCACTGTCATCCCCAGTGCCACACAAACACACGTCTCCTTCGCTCTAAAATGAAGCCACAGTAGACTATATTTAGGTCACTTAAAATATTGGGACTTTGAGTTGGTCCACCCTAAAATCTTCATCCCCTATGAACCTCTGGAGCCTGTGAAAGCTCAGTCCTGCTGATCCAATGCTGCAGGATCTCCACGATACAGAGCAACAACAGGGTAACCAGGAGGAGTTCTAGGGATTTTCCAATAGTGATACTGTCCCAGAATCCAGACTTCCCCAGCCAGACCAGTGTGGGACACACTGACACACTATGTCATGCTACAGCTTCCAAGACAGATGTTTTCTATGCTTTGCGTGTGTGTGTGTGTGTGTGTGTGTGTGTGTGTGTGTGTGTGTGTGTTATTTTGGGGGGAGGATGCAAGGTCAGAGGACAGATGTGGGATCGGGATACATGATATGAAACTGTCAAAGAATCAATACAATTGAAAAACAAACAGAAACAGAGTAAGAGGCTTCTGTGAAGGCGCACATCACCTTTCTCCACTAGGTGGCGATCCGCATTAACACAGTTATTAGAGCGTGTGGAAAGAGCTAGGGAAGTCAATGATGGAGGGTCTCGCACTTCTATTTTCCACTCTTGTCAAAAAGCAGTGGCGAGGGCAGTCAGAACATTCGGCTGTGCCTCAGGTCTCTAAAGATAACCAGCTTCCTACCTCCCACTGAGAACAACTGTCATGCTACAACACAGATTTAATTATTTTCTGTTTTGATTTCAAAACAAACATACTGCTTGGGAATACTTAATATTAAAAGGGAAAAACAAGGCTATTATTAATTTATCCAGATGTCCCTGCAGCAAGAATTCCAAGGGAAGAAAGGGAAAGGACAAGCTCCCACAGAGAAAGGGAACAGAGTTACCAAAGGGGAAGCGGGAAGTCTTGATGCAGGGGTGGGCTGACGGAACAGGGTCTCATCCCGGGAGCTGACAGGGACCTTGAGAACAGGGCGGACTGTAGCTGAGAGGAGAGCTGTGCGAGGAAAACAGCAACCCAGCGTGTACCTTGGGCAAAGCGTATTTCGGGAGCTTCATTTGTGCAAACGTGCTTCTTCGGTGGGACACGTAGTAGTGCGGTCTTCCTCCCGAGGTCAGCTGCGTAATGGAAACAAGGTGGCGACATGAGGTATTGGAAACCCGGGGTCACAGAACAGCAACCTAAACGAAGCAGGAATCTGCCACACAGCATCAAAACTGCAGCAGAGGGCACCGATCGATAGTCTTCACGAACCAGAAAAGCAGCTTACACGCTGCGTAGGGATACTCAGAGGCGCCATAACAACCATATGATAGACCAAAAAAAAAAAAAAAGTACTGTGCAAATTTGCACCATGGGACTGGAGAGGTGGCCCAATGTTGCGCGCACTTAGTGCTCTTCCAGGCCGGGCTGTGACTCCCAGCACCCACCGCGCAGCTCACAATCCACAGCTCCAGGTCCAAGGGATCTAATTTCCTTCTCTGCCCTCCACAGGCTTCCATGTAGTCCATGGACACAAAAGCCCAAAAGAAAAGGCCCTGATACATAAAAGTAAATCTTATATGGACACATATGCATATTGATAGATAGACAGATAGGTAGGTAGATAGATGATAGAGAGCTAATACATAGATTACTATATGTAGATATATGAGGTGATTCTAAAGCTAAGAAACTGTCTCAGCTCTATTCTTCCTAACACTAGAAGTCTCCGGAGATATTAGTTCACTGTCCTTCAGCAGTCCAGCTTTCAGCCTCAAGTCCTTGCCATACAGGTGGCCATGTTGGCCCAAGTTCAACAGTGAAGGGAAGCCTTCTTCCCACATACAGATTTCTTGCTTGATGGTATCACATTGATGCCTAAGAGCATGTTCAGGCATGTTAACAGAAAGCCAGGTCATGTTTGGGTTCCAAACTAATTGTAGTGTTCTTTCTTTTGGAGGAAAACCATGGAAACAAGCACTGTTTGGGCAAAGCAGGTCAATGAATCCTGAAGGGCTTGCAGGACAGGAAGTGGGGTGGGGGTGGGGAGTGATTTCCATAGACTTGAATACCATGCTGGGCAGAGTAGAAGGCACCTCTGTGAGTGTGTTTCTGGAGTAAACCGTGACCTACATAAGTTTCTGCAGTTTGAATGTCACTAGAGTTTGCATACTTGGAATGTCAACAAAGCTTGTGGTAAATGTTAATCATACACGGGGGAAAACTGGAAAGAGACTTTTTTCACCATTATGTGTGGAAGTGCTTGCTTAAAGGAGGCTACCCATATAATTCTAAATGTAGATCTGATGTTGATTTATATGCCAGATATGTAGATTATAAACTTGCCAGAAACTAGAGAAGGTTCCTGAGAGGATTACTGATAGAGAAATGAATTGGCAGTACATGCAACCATCTGAATGTCACTTGAAATTATTCAAGTATTGATTATATACTATCCTGAAGAAAAAGACACTGAGATGTGTGTATAATCACTTGTGAAACATTACAAAATCAGATAGACTGTCACTGAGTAGTTTTTTTTTTATGCATAGGATTAGATATAATTTATTCTTCAAATAAACTTGTGTCTAGAATGTACTTCAACTGCATCATATATATGTGTATGTATGTATATACACACATATTCTTGTATTTATATACATACATTTTAGCAATTATACCTTTACAGCTCTTACCTTGGAAAGTAAAAACATGATTTTTAGATGAATTGGCCAAACATGATTACTGCCTGTCTTTTGTCACTAATCCTGAAATCTCAATTACTCAAGTGTTTTCCCATTCTCTCCGGAGGAGGAAATCGCCCTGGGAACCACAGTAGTTTCTGACTATTCCAGGCATCATTCTCACTTGGCCTATGCACCGTCTGTCCCACCTCCATCCATCACACAAGGTCCCTTTCATGTTCTTTCCTTTTAAAGTGACACCTAAGAAGGGACTGATAAGGAGAGATGGACTTAGCTTCTCAGTTCATTTAGTGACTAGGATTTATTTGGGGAAATGGATAAACAGAAGTGTATATCACTCCTGGGTCAATGCAGCGCTCTTTAGATTGGTGGGTAAATTCTTACCGACAGTAGCTGAAGAATAGCCTGTGAATCTCCCTCTCCCTTCCACCCTCTTTCATTCCTCCAGCTTCCCCTCCCTTCTGCCCTCTGCCCTCTCCTCCTCCTCCTCTTGCTCCTCTCCACTCCATTTCTTTCTCCCTTTTGAAGATATATTGGCAGGCAGAATGGTTATATCCAGACAGAGACTAAAAATGCTGTGAACCACGGAACAGAAGAGAGGTTTTCTTACCTGAACAAACACATAATCATCCTGGACAATCAAAGAGTCGGGGTCAATGTAGCCTGGGAAAGGTTTATTTTTGTTGGCTTCTGTGCAGTTTTGCATTCGGCAAGTTAAGTATTGGGAGTCTGGAATAGAGAAGATAAAAGCTGTAGAGTCTACGCACATGTTTTCTATTGCCCTTGGAATCTTGACGTGTCTAAGCAAGCATCACCATCTCTCTAAGTGCTCACTCCGTAACGCTGCTACTATTCAGCATGTCAGTGTGTGTGTGTGTGTGTGTGTGTGTGTGTGTGTGTGTGTGTGTGTTAATTGTGCTAACAGAACCACTCTCTCCTGGTATTTCCACCAAGTTTTGTTACAGAATTCTTCTTTAGCTTTTCTCTTCCAAACCCCAAAATAACACTTTTTAAAAACTGACTTGTGATTTTGTAACTGTATTTTCATCTTTATTAGAACTATATTTTCATCTTTGTTCACTTCCACACATTGTTCATTGACTGAAAAAGCAGGAAAACACTTGCACACAGTATTTTTTAAAATCTCAGGCAGACATCCCACTGGAATGAATAATATGTCTCTTTGATGAAGATCCGTATTTATGGCCTGAAAATGAAACATAGTAGTGACATCTCCAATTCAAAACCTCAGTTGAGAGGTGAGTAAACTCACACCTGAGTATTCAGCTGAGACTGCACAGTGGCCAACAAACACAGCGTCTTAGGTCAGTTAATTCCCTATTATTGGACAAGGGTTGTGTTAGAGGGGCTCTGGCCTCTTTGAGATCTTTTTATGGCAGTATTTGCTTCAAATGCCACAAAACCCACACTAGGCCACATTCAAACTCTCCTCCGGTCCTCTTACCTACTTTACTCTTCTGATAATGTATCTATTCCTCTTACTCTGCCCATGATTTTTCTAATCTCCTAATTTATGTTGAAGAGCATGTGCAACCCTCCCCCTTGGTACTGAAGACTTTCCATCCACACTCACTTTGTCCAAAATTCTCCTCCACAGAGAATTTTACCAAGTTACCAATGATGTAACGTCAACCCAATTTTACTTATGAAGACCTTCCACGATTACTCCCTAAAAGATATTTAGATGCTATATCAATAACTCAATAGCCCCCCCCCACCGTGTGTGTGTGTGTGTGTGTGTGTGTGTGTGTGTGTGTGTGTGTGTCCCTCTCTGCTATATCCCTAAGTCCTAATACCAATCCTGGCATAATGTAAACAAAAAAGTGAATATTCTTTGAAACACAGCTGCTTATCTGATTTTGTATTTTTGTATAAAAGTGAGGTCATTTTACTTGCTTTTGGTGCCCAATAATTTGGGACATTGATTTCTAAGATTTTAAACAGGAAATACAGACAGTCTCAAAAATGAAATATTAGAAATGCATCATTTAAAAGAAATGAGGATGGGCAACAGTGTTCTAAGGTGGATGGATACAAAGGTTCATGAAAGACTTCTCTGAAAATTACCAAAGAACTTACCAACAGCATTGCATTCATGTACTAGAAACTGAGTGTTCCCGAATTCTGCAAGAAGGGTCAGCAGGGGGCAGCATGCACATTTGGACCAGCTGACCCTTGGCTGATAAAGTTGCTGGTAGAGTCAGTAAATGCTGAAACAAGTTCTGTGCACAATCTTCCCTCAGTAGAGGGTATTATGCTGGGATAGGACAGTTCCCTGGTCTAAAACCCCACTGAGTCTTGGTGAAACCCAAAGTTGAACTAAAGGAAAGACGATACCTATCCTTTCCACCTCCCCTTTTTTTCAGACCTTCTATAGTTCCATTTTTAATACACAAATTAAGATATTTCTTTATCCTTAAAAAAATCATTGGAACTTGTCTTTTTTTCAGAATGTTCTTCTCTATATCATACAAAATCTTTATCTCACAATTTCACAGTCCACTAGACTATTTTGCAGCCTTTAAATGGCTCCATATTTTTAAAAGGTTGCCTGGGTCCACAGAAGAAATGGTTTCTTTCTGTGAAACCTGGTTTGGTTTTAGCTGTGGTGTTGTATCAGTTGCATGAGGAAATCACTTCATCATCCCTCAACTTGCATTCTTCAGCTATGAAGCAGGGATTAGAGTATCAGTCATTTAGTCTATTAGCTAGTGCACAGAATTAATTTATATGTGGTTAAAATAAAAATGCTATGTTTTGAAAGTTAAACCTCTATAAATGTCAATTCCTATGAGTCATCATTTTCTTGATTTTTATTTTTGTTTTCATAGTGATAGGGTCAATTTGAGGAACATAATCAGTCCTTTAAAAGACAAGTTAAACTGACCTCTGCTATTTATTCCAGTAAGATGCATGCAAGAGGTTCATTTAGATAGACAGTTATATATATATATATATATATATATATATATATATTTATATATATATATATATATATATATATATATATATATATATATATCACAAGCCATTCTACTCTATTTGCTGAAAAAGCCAACACTGCATTCACTGTCTCATCCTTCCTCTATGAAGAAGCTTCTATGTGTGAGGACTAATCCTCTTGGGTCTAAATCCACTCTGGTGTTCCTAATCCCTTTCACATTGGCTGGTTTAGAATAGGGCATTTAAATCTAGTGCTAAATGAAAAGTGAGGGTAGCACCAGAGATACAGAAGGAGACTTAGCTATCCCTGTACAATATGGTCTCAATTTGATGCAGGGGACTATTTAATTTTCCTCTTATCGAAAGGAGTCAGGAGCATAGTCAGACTTAGCTAATGATTGTGACCAGACTGAAAGAACCTGGTCCCTGATGACATTCCTAAGCCATTGAGTGTACCGAATCTACCATTGTCCTAGTGCTGCTATGTGAGGTGATAAGGAACTGTGGCTAAAGTGGATTAAATCAAATGGGAAGGTTAGAATTTCTTGGACTTCTAATGAGAGCATAACTTTCATCGTGATGTTAGAGCTGACACTAAATGAGGACTCCAGTATGAATATGCATCATGGTTTTACTTCTAATAGTGTCCATCAATGCTCATCAAGACCTCAGTCTCGTCTTCAAAGATCTGGGCAAATCCCAGATGGAAAATATAAATATACATATGTGATATTTATAGGCCATTTACGTGTAAGCTGTACATCCAAGGTTAGGGAAGAAAAACAAAGGAGGTTTGTCAACATTTGTCAAGCAGCTGTTCGCAACCTTCCTAATACTGTGACCCTTCAACACAGTTCCTTTTGTTACAGTGACCTCCTGCTACTCCGTAACTGTAATGTTGCCACTGCGATGAGTCGTAATATACACATCCGTGGTTTCTCATGGTCTTAGGTGACCTTGTGAAAGGGTCATTTGAACCCCGAAGGGGCGGGCAGCATCCCTCAGGTTGAGAACTGCTGGCGTGTTGGCTGGAAATTCTAACGGCTCAGGTATGCAGGACAGGTATGCAGCTAATGCTCACAACACTACAAGATGATGTATCCACGATTTTCAGGAGCAGGGAGCGAGGGTGACGGCTTATAGAACGGCAGCACATGGGTGGGTACCTTGGTTGGCTTGGCCACAGCTTTGCTTTATTTCCATTTCATTATGTTACATGAAAACTTTCATTTGTCTGGGCCGACTTACATGAACTAGACTTTGGCTTCTCTTCCCTAAGAATAGGTGAGTACATCTACACACAAAGCGAAAACACTCGGAAACTCATGCTGTTACATGCTACTGTTGCAGTGTGCAGTAAGATGCATAAGATTTTATCCTTGGAACTCAGGTTCATTTCTGAGGATTTCATTGAAGGAAATCATGACAGATGGGGAAGATTCAGTCACAGGTATTTATCAGGAAGTGTTTAATACAGGCTAGCCAGGTGCCTCGGCAGATAAAGGGAGCCACATAAAAACCTAGAGACCCGAGTAAGATGCTTGGAAGTACACAGAATGGAAGGAGATAACAGAATCCACAAAGCTGTCTTCTGACATGTGCCCAGGAACACAGGACCCCTACTATTAAGTTTTTAAAGAGGTTTTAAAGTGTGCATGTGTGTGTGTTTATATGTGTGTGTGTGTGTGGGCAGGTGCATCAGAGAGTGCCCAAGGAGGCCAAAGGAGAAAGTTGAATCCATGTGAACTAGAGTTATGTTTGTCTCTGAGACTCCCTTATACTGCTATATGTCTGGGAACCAAACATTGGTCTTCTCTCACAGGAGCACGGGCTCCTAACCACTGAGCCATCTCTCCAGCGCTAGAAATGTTATATAATACCGAAAAGAAAAGATTAAACAGAGAAAATAAGTAAAGTGTGAAACAATTTAACTCACTATTAAATTCCTGCTGCTAGGAATAAATATTTAAAGTGTATTAAATATTTAAGACAAGTTACCAATTAATACTATTTGATAATTTTTTTGGTTTTGAAAATTATGCCTTCGTTAAAAAAAAATGCTTAAACAAGATGAGAGAGTGTGGAGAGCACACCTATTCTAAACCAGCTGGGTAACTTTCTGTCTTCCTAAAATTGTTTCCAAATAGATGCTTTTAAAAATAGATGGCACAATATTGTATGTGGACCCACTTTTTGGCAAGTTGTATATATAGACATCAATCTATGTGTGCTTGCGCAGGAAAGGTGAATAAAACATACATGAGCTGTCAACAGTCATAGCAAGGCGGTAAGTGGAAGAGTCGGACACTGGGAGTGAAATCGCTGACCCAGCGCTTTTCACCTGGATGGGTGGGAGTCACACCGGGCTCGTGAGATAAACAGTTCCGACAAACACCACTCAACATTCTGTTTCCTCCACTTCCCGATTCTCTGTGTTCTTGTTCACCCGCGCAGTGAGCCTTCTTTGAGCTGAGAATTACAAGGTACTCAGCTAGGTAACACAAGAAAAGCCTCAAAATTAGTCTTCTATATCTACTCAGGACGGCTAAAAGTGAAATTCACAAGCTGAAAGGTAAGCGATCAGTCTCGAGCTGCCTGCCTGGCAAAGTGTTCAGTTTTCTCCCTTTCTCCTTCTAATAGAAATGGAAAGAAATTGGCTGCGGTTCATAATGAGGGACCAATCACTCTTATTCCCCTTGAGGTTTTCTGTAATAGCATTAAGTATGATGCACTCTTTCCATATTCTATTCTGGTGAGTGTGTGAT